TAAGTAGACAATAGATCCATGTTTAGAAGAATGAAGAATACTAATTAGGGTTTAGCCTCGAGGGTTTACGACTCTAATTAAACCCTAGGGTTTAGGGTTTAGGGTTTAGGGGTTAACAATGAGGAAAAAGAAGTCATTAATTACAACAAAAATAAATAAAAAGGAAAAGGAAAGAAAATAAATAACTGCAGTGTCTTAGCTGAGCTGCCTATACACCTGAACTATGCATAATTAACCCTTGGCAGCAAAACTACTCTAGCGGTTGTTGTTAGGGTTTGGCGAATTAGGGTTTAGGGTTTAGGGTTTAGGGTTTTGTGCTGTATACGCCTCCTATAACTGTGGTAAGAAATGCAGCAGCAGCAGCAGCAGCAAGAAGTCATATGTTACATGACCAGTGGTCCCCCGTGCATGCATGCACGGGGCTGAGTTGTGTGGCATGCATGCATGTTGCAGCAGCAGCAGAACAAGCAGAAGCAGAAGCAGCAGCAGCTGTTGCTGCAGCAGCTGCTGCTGCAGCAAATGCAGCAACTAAGTAAGGAGAAAAAGTTGCTGCTTCTTCCTTCTTTGTCTTAATGATAATACGTTGGTGTATTGACAGGAAAAGACAACTATAGGAAATACTCCGTAGAACTGATGCTCGTGCTGCTGCTGCTGCTGTTGCTGTTGCTGCTGCTGTTGCTGCTGCTTATTAACTGTAGCACACAGAGGAGGCTTTATAGTTGTTGCTAGGCGCATGCGGCAGCAGCAGCAGCAGCAGCAGCAGCAAATAAAGCATTTAGATAAGACAATGGTACTAAATAAGAAAGAAGACTCGAGTGTATATCCAACTGTATATGAGGAAATAGGAGGTATTTTATTATAAATAATATTATTTATAATTAATTATTGATTTATTTACTTGTGGTGTATAAAAGGAATAAACAAAAGGAAACATAAAAAGGAAGGAAGAATAAAAAAAGAAGAAAGAATAAAAAAGGATGCAAAGGGTATTTCGCTGAGCTGCCTATACACCGCAGAAATGAATCATCTTTACACAATTTTCTTAACTTTTATCGATAAAGACATCATTTTATGGCGAATTTAATTAAACTTAATTAAATAATTATAATTTTAATTAAATATATTCCTTTTTGCGGTTATTTTCATCATTTATTCATATATTTACTGCGGTGTATGCAGACACCTCGTGGGGGGGCCCCCCATCGGCGACAAGGGGGCCCCCCCATCAACGACAAGGGGGGCCCCCCTGCTCTTTTTTTTTCTTCCTTTGTTTTCTCCCTTCATTTGTTTGCATTTTTCCTTTAAAATGTATTTTTAATTATAAAATAAATAATATTATTTATATATAAAAGGAATAAGCATCATAAGAAGGCATTTATTGTGCATTTCTTCTCCTGATTGAGCTGCCTATACACCAAAGCAATAAGAAATCCTGCTGCTGCTGCTGCTGCTGCAGTAGTAGGGGCCCCCCCCTCTTTCTCTATTTTCTTTTTATTTCTTTTTTCTGTCTCCTGTACAACTGTTTCCTTCCTCTTCCTCCCCTTCTTTTCCTTCTTTTCTTCTTCTCCCTCATAGAAAACCCTTAATAGCTAATAAAAACACAAGAAAAAGACAATAATAATAAAAAAAAAAAGAATAAAAAAGAATAAAATATAAATATAATTAACAATAAAATAAATAAATAAATAAATAAATAAATAAAAATGTGTCTGCCTGTAAATTTATCCCAATTTAGGGATCGTGTATACTGGGATCGTTTCTTCAAGGAGAGGGGAGACGATCCCTTTGAATGGTATGGAGACTATGAGTCTTTTCGTCCTGCATTGGGGGCCCTAGGGTACATTAAGACAGAGGGAGAGGGGCCCCCCCCTATGGAAGGGGGGGCCCCCCCATCAGGGGAGGGGGGCCCATCTGATCAGGGGCCCCTTGTACTACATGTTGGCTGCGGTAACTCAGACCTAGCTAAAGGTCTCTATGATGACGGGTAGGTAATAAATAGGTCTATAAATAGATAATTAATTAATTAATTAATTATATTTATTTATTTATTTATTTATTATTTATTTATTTATTTATATGTGCAGATATAAACATATAATTAATATAGATTTTTCTTCTATAGTTATAGAAGAAATGAAGAAAAAATTCATCAATTATTCTTCTATTCAATGGCAATGCATAGATGTAAGAAATAGGGGACTACAGAGGGCCTTCTTACAAGAGGATGGGGGCCCCCCTAATGAGGGGGGCCCCCATCAAAAAGGGGGCCCCCTCAATAAGGGGGGCCCCCCATTTAATTTAGTTATAGATAAAGGGTTCCTTGATGCCTATATCTCTATTGATCATGATAAAGGACAAACAGCAGGGGCCCCCCAGACAGGTACTGGTAGTACAGCTACTCAGGGGGCCCCTGAGGGGGGCCCCCCTCAGGGGCCCCCTACAGGGGCCCCTAATTATGATTATAAGAAATCAGCAGAAGAATACTTTCAGGGTGTATTCG